GAGAGAAGGAGAGAAGGAGAGAAGGAGAGAAGGAGAGAAGGAGAGAAGGAGAGAAGGAGAGAAGCCCTTTGATTTGTTGCAGCCAAACCTTGGATCTATGCGAAGTATACATAGGAATAAAGGAGCAAAGCTCAGTAAAACAGCACAGTAAATTGCGATGCTCAGGTGTTTACTTACAAGCCCAGCGCAGCAGATTTGGAGGTGCAAGCTGTGTTTGCGAAATGGTTGGAATGGGTAAGAAGCTTCCTGGAACACACTCTTCAGCAAGAAACCCTCTTGAAGCATAGCAATTGTATGCAATTGTCCAGCCTGGCAAGGTTTGATTCTGATCAATCAACTCAATGCTCTTCTTAAGAAGCTATCCACCTTTCCATCTTTGGGCACTCTCTATAATTCTGTTAGTTTCGAGGGAGTTTAGACTCCTATAAAGTTTCAAGTGGAAGGTGCCTCGCTCGACGGCCAAGAGTCAGGAGAGGGAACTTCTTCCATCATACCCCTCCTTAGAAATAAAGACTAAGGCGTAGCCAAGGTGTAGCCTTGAAAGGTTGTGTCTAGCCTCGCATGGCTTAACTGGTCGGCTTGGCTTGCGAGATACCCACAAAAACACTGTCGCTGGTCAGACTCGTCGCAAGGAGTTGGATGACCTATTCATGGGAGTTGCTCGGACCTCAATGGGCTTTCTCTCATCCTCACCCAACGACCTACTTTACTTGCAACTAGTGCTTTTGTCGGAATCTCAAATGCACTTGCAAACCGCAGACAGCCCACAAAAGATCCATACCATTGATAGCACACGGAGCCAGTTTCTGGTCAGTTTTGAGGCGGCCTCGGAGCCGACTGAATTGGTTTCCTTGAAGGAAGGTCCAGGAGACGAACTGAGCTCCCCGGCAGCCTTCAGGTTCTTGCTGTGGTTGTTTGGTCAATGGTGCTCGTAAAGGCTCCAGCGGGAGGAGCACAAACTCCGCTTTGCCAAAAGCCAGTCTGCCAACACTGCAGGGGGCAGGCGGAGGTGGGAGTTTCCAGTGCCACTGATGCTTGTTCATGCTTGTTGGCCTTTTTTTTTGGGGGGAAGCATGGGGTCAAACAGTCGCATTCTTGGCTCAAGCTCACGTCGAAGATGAACAACAAATGAAAAAACAAACAATGGCTTCAGCACCGTAAAAGGTAAACAGTTGGCATTATTGATCATGCAAATCTCGGTTTGATCGAGATCAGTAGCATAAGATGTGTTGGTAAGGTGCTTCTGCAATTCTCTCGAACATGTTCCGATACCTGACCAAAAAGCTGAAGGCACTTGCCTCATGCCTACGATTCAACACGCATTCAGCTGTTGCCAAAGTTTTTTTTGTTTGTGAAGTTCGCATTGCTTTCTCAGGGAGAGGAAGATGCAAAAAAGGACGCATTCTTGAAAGGTGTTTTAGCACAAGCAAGTTTGTGAGAGCCATTGTTGCTGATAAACCATGCCAGCCCTTGCACAATCTTGTCGAATGCATTTCCTGAAAAGGACCCTTATGCTGATCTGACGCCAGAACTGAAGGTGCAATGGCTGAACACGTGGATTGTTGGATTAGCCCAATGCCCCAGTGCCTTGTCGTTGTCCTCAGCAGCCAGACAGGTGCATGCTGCAGCTTGCAACAATGACGTCAAGATGCTAGAGAAGCTGGCCAAGGCGCAGCACAATACTGCTTATTTTGCCTGGAGTTTTGTGTATCATGGCTTTTTGTCTTAGAGACAGAGCAGGAGAGCGAGAGAGAGAGAGAGAGAGAGGACGGGGTGGACTTTAACGAGCCACGACCGCAGGCACCTTGTCGATGTAGATGTATACAATGAGTCATGAATGTAACAAAGGCACGCCATGCGCAGTGCACTACTATACACTTGCTAAACAGCTATTGCATTTGTTGAGACTGGTTGCCACACATTTGCAATACTTTGCGCCGGGCTTCCAAAATCTAGAAGGGTTATACAATGTAGAACTTGTAGTGAAGGGTGTGGACAGAAGCTGTCTTTCTTTTGTTTCTTGGGCTGTGCAACTTGGTGGCGCTGGCGGTGATAAGGACGGATACTATGCGCTGGATTCTTGTGCATGGCCACAGTCTTACATAGACAATTTGCTTCGACCATTTGGAACTGCTGCGTCAACAAGTCCAAGGTCTGGAAATGTGGAAGCCATCAATGTGCTGCTCCAGCACGGAGCAGACCCATCTATCACCCTGCAGGCACACGGTTCATGCTCTGAATGCAAATGAGCTCAAATGTTCCAGGAAGAGAATGAAACGCAGATGCGAGTTATGATAAGTTCGGTTGTAGGCCATAGTTGGTGCTGCTTCGTGGGGCGATCCAGAGATGCTGGAGGTACACCAATGAATCTACCATACTCTATATACCAAGTTTAGGTGGTTCGGGTGACTTTGCTGTCCGAAAGCAGCTCTTTTGAGGCACTTATCAGTGCAGGTGGTCAAGTGGACCAGGCCCTTCGCGCAATGCTTTGGTGAAAGCCATGACAATCAAAGTTGAAACGAACATTCCTGCTCTCCTAGGATCCCAATAGTCATTCTGGTTGTAGTCAATGTTGTGCGTGCACGAGAAAGCTGCGTTTGGACAAGAGGAGTTTCAAGTAAAGAACTGACAAGTATTATTGTTATATAACTGGCCACATTGTTTGCAGGAACTAAATTCTGAGACTGCTTTGCGATGGGCTGTGCAGTTCGGCCATGAGGACTGACTTAATAAACCCGCTTTTGATTCATTTACAGTGTCCAAACATGGCCTGGCCCAGCGGGCTCTCCACTGAATTGCAAGGACTGTGCCCTTCTTTTAGTTCAGAAGGCTGGTTTGCTTGTGGGAACAAGCACCTTCCGTCAAAAGCCTTCTATACATACATACATGCATGCATACATACATACATCCATACATCCTTGCATCCATACATACATCCATACATAAGTTTACGGGCTGTGTGTCCACACTTTGCAGCTGGGCCAGCTCACCCGCCTCGGTGCCATCACAGGTTTAGCGCCAGGCCCTCAATCAAAGGCCAGAGCTCTTTGCGCAGGCCTGTGTACCCTTGCTATGCACCACTCCGCATCATCGTCCAAGTCAGCAGAGTCTGGGAGGCCTGGACCAACCCAAACCAGCGCAAAGGTTTTCAAGATCTGGCCAATGAAGTTCCTGATCAAGACCTCAAGCGCCTCACTGTCCTCTATGCCAGCAGGAACACTCGCACTCCGGATGCACCTGGCAATGAAGCCCACTTGCACTGCAGACAAAGGGATGCTGGAGCGGTGGCCTGGGAGAGAGCCAACACCATCTACGATCAACGCCAAGAGGACTGGCAACATACTTTGGATGAAGACCATATCGCCACTTACCAGCATGCGGTGGCCCGCCTTGAAGCCATCTGTGCGGACCCATTGCACTATGTCCAGGAGAAAGCACCCAGACACCAGGGCCGCCACACCAAACAACACAAGAAGCAGCTCATCAACACCAGACAGGACAGGCCACAAGATCCATTGCGGACTCCAAGCCTTGCTGTGAGATGGTGTGCGCCTGTTTATGGACGTGGAGCTGCCTTGCGGTTGGATCATGGATGCGGAAATCCTGCCGAGGTGCCTGGGGAATACGCTCTGTCAACCGATTCGACGCTCCATTTTGTTATTGACGCCCTGAACGAACGTTTTGATGCCGTTGCCTATACCCATTGCTTCCCCGCACATGACTTCATCCTCCCGCCCAGGCGCTGCCTCCGCTGCTGCTGGCCCATGCAGAAAAAGAACAAGCGCAGGGGCTGGCTTTAGTCCCCCACTTCTCAGGTATATATATATATAATATATATGTATATGTATATAACATATACATATATGTTTGCTACCATAGACAAACGCACATAGGTGAGCTACAAGATTGTGTGCAACGTGTAGTTGCGTGGACTGATGTTTGCGCAAACTTGTTTGCTTTTGTCATACCTTGAACAGGGGGCGTGGAAGCTAGAGCCGAACCAGGAGACTTTGAGCACTCTACACCTGGCACACTTCCATGAGCAGCGCCAATTTGTGTATCTTCCGCACTCAAGCATCTGAGGAGCTGCTACTTCTTCGCGCAAAGAGTGTCTCGTATTTGTTCAAAATCGTCCAATGCGAGCTGTTTGGATTGGCCACTGGCAAGTTACCCAATGTACCTGATTCTTGCAAAGCTACATGATAAAATAGTAAATAGTGCCTTTATGACTAGCAGTTGTTCTTTCTCAGCGACCGTTTCCAATTTCTTCATGAGAACCTGGCAAGGTCGGAGGATGCGCAAGCTCTTAGAGGGCATCGCTCAGGTGGATCCAGACCGCGCAGCAGATTGCGTTGTACCACCTTGCTGGAAGACTCTCGTCATAAGTGTCGTTTTTGGTCTGTGTCCCTGCCTCCTTTTCTTTTAACCACTAAGAGCAGTAGTGGTTGAGACCAAAGGGCTGAAACGGTGCCTCGAGTTCTAGTTCGGGAAGCAAGGGTAGCCTGTTGCAGTCTTCTGGTGCCCAAGGACATGTGAAATTCTTTGATGCAATCGTGAAGGGTGCGTAGATTGTGTCCAGTTTAGCTTTTGCAGTAGTTTCGTGGCTGCTTGAATCGTTTTGTGTACATACCTTGCCAGCAAACTTGCACGGCCCAATGAGGCGGCGTTGTTTCTTTGTCACAGGGGCATTGCAGCAGTTGCCTTTGGCATACCGCAATTTTCAAATGCCTTATTCATACAATTTTCAGGATTCTCAGGTGCACAATGTCACCTCCAACAACGGGAAAAGAACCCGACGTTTCACGTCTTTGCACAACAGCCACTGACTTCGGTTGAACAAAGTTTTTCGGCATACTTGGCCTGGCTTTCGCAGGCTTGGGCTTTGCTGCAGGATTTGCAGCAGGTGCTGCAGCCGCCAGTGCAGCTAGTGGTGGTGATGGACAAGGTGCAGAGCGAGAAAAACATATCCCGATGTCCACAGCAGCCCTAGATTTGTGCCCTTGGTTTTACATGTCAAAGATATGCACTAGTTGCATTTATGTACACAAAAAGCAGTCTTGTAACTGGTACGACATTGAAGGTAGTGCTCCAACCTTTTCTTCTTGGCTCCTTCTTCTTGCACAGAGCCTTTTCGATGCCAAGTGCTGAAAGGGCAGAATGTTGTGTGTGTGTGTGGCAGTATGTGTCTAAAATTCTGATTGGACTTGTGACCGGCAGACCCAAACAGGTTAGTTTTATGTTCTTTTTGAGATCATCCAGCTTTGTCATGGCATTCTTTTGAGGTCAGCACAGATGATGTTGTGCGACGTTTGAAGCTGCTTGTGTGATGGACTCGAAGATGCTGAACAGAAAGGACGTTTTATTTCTTTTTTAGTTGAAGATTCTAAAGGACGCTCTGCCCCCCAACCTAGAAGCGACGGCCTCCAACCTAGTAGCGATGGCCTCCAACCTAGGTGTGAGTATTTTGCTAGATTGCAGTGGCCTGCTGAAATTTGCGCTCCTGTTCAACTATTTCCTTAGAGTTTTCAGTCAGCTGGCTTGCAATTGGGCTTGGCAAAGGCCATATCCAGCTCAAGACAGATCGACTGCAGAGGACTGTGACACAGAGAAAAGGCTACAGATATCCACAGAGTACAGATTTACTAGTGGGCTATGTAGATGTGTGCAAGGCTTTGCAGCATGCCGGCAAGAAATTGCCACTGTATATAATCCACAAACATGGAGCTCAGGAGCTGCGGACGCGTCCCGATTTCTATGGTTCAGCGGCTAAGTTTTAGACTGCGGGATTTGCATGTCTATTTGTTTGGTCCTGCAAAGAACTTGGCTCACGCCTCGTTTTGGCTTAAGGACCATTCTGGGTGGCCACCACTGCAGTCCTCTTCCTTGCAGCCACTGGTAATTTTGCCAGGCAGACAGACAAGATTGCCACCCTTGGACGCTACGCTTTACTTAAAGTTTGAAGATCGCTCATTCAGCATTGTGCCTTACTGTAATGGCCTTAATGATGCCTTTCTGTTTTTGCTTTGTGGGGGAAGGTGCAAAGGATTGCAAAGGTATTTCTGAGTGGTGGCAGGCTGATCGAATCACCGCACCCCAGCCTTTTCAAGGTGCACAGTGGGTGCACAGTGCTCATAGAGATTCGTAGAGTGTAGTATCAGTATGAGTGTAGAGATGTTGGAAATTTCAGCCATCTCATTTTGGAGAAGCTAATTTTGATGTCGCACGTTAGGCGGACTACAGCTTGGTGCCACTGGCTGCAAGTCTTGTTTACGGGTACAAGACTCAATATAACGGGTTATCATATTATATATACCTAGTGAGTTATAACTACCATCTCAGGTCAATCAGGGGCATATTGCCTTCCCTTGTTCTTTGAATCAGGGGGTTGATTGCAGTGCCCATCCTGGCCCGAGTGTCAGTCGCCTCAGTTAGATGTCTACTCTTGGATCTTGAGTAGACATGCTCTTACAAGAGAGTGCTCGGATTGTTGTTATTGTAATTGTGCATTGCCTTCGGTTCTGGCAGAGTGCATTTCTTCCAAGCTGCAGGTCCGTATTCTTCACCGATGAAGAGGCTCACATGCCTTGAGATGACATGCTGCTTGCAGATTCATTTTTTAACGGCAATTTTCGAGCTGTAGGGCACCAAAGAGGTAGCTAGTATTAGGAAAGTACAGTAGCAAGGAATCTATTGCAAGGGCTCCTCACACCGTCGAAACGGTTTGCCGAGCGATTGCCAGCACACGTCATGACAGATGCAGGTTGCAAACATCGACTTCAAAAAAATCATTTGTGTTTGCGGGCAGCTGGGATGCACATTATTGCTCTTGTTGTCATGCAAAAAAAAAGATATACACATATATATATACACATATGTACACGTAAAGCCCTGTGCTAGTTGAATTGGCGCCTTGTGTTCATACAGCTTCTGCTTCTGAGCAAAAAGCCTCAGGTATGGACTTGCACCTTCGATACCGGTGTCGGGTCCCTGTTTGATACCTGCGGTTTCGCATGCGTGCTGGTGTCAAGTGTGGCCAGTGCTTTATTTTTGCAGCATTGTTTGAGGTCCATACTTTGCATCATTCCAGTTGGATTCCTGCGATGGCTTTTTGTCCTTGGAGGTCTTATTTGTTTGGCTTCGACTTTGAGCCAAAGTAACAAATCTTTGGAGGTTTGGCGCTTTCGCTCTATTTTATCAAGGGCAACTTGCTTGAGGACATCTCTGTGAAAGTGTAAACTGCCCAGAGATTGCTTGCTTTGGGATGCTCAATGCTCACCATTATATAATAAACACTGTTAGCACCTGTCTCTTTGAGGCGATGGCTACAGCTGACCTTGATCGCTGCCCCAGTGATTCTTCAGGTTCGGCGTTTTGAAATTTCTAGAAGGCATATATGCCCTGTCACACAGGCTCTAGTTTTGGGCACCAGGTGCTTGTGTTCTTCATCTACAGGGTCCGCTTCTTCGCGGGTGATCGAGACTGACCATGACACACGGCGAAAGAAAGGAGCTTTATGCAATTGCTCCCTCCAATAGAGCACAGCAAAGCAAGATAAAGCAATAACCCAGAGGAAAGTGAAGGGTGTGTGTACACACAGAAGTGCGCTCTTGCATCAGTTTCTACATCAAAGCAATGCAAGTCAGACATGCCGCATGTTGTCAGACAGAGCTGCAGTTGACTTCCCGCTTCATTGCTACAATGCAACATCAAGGTGTGCAACGGAGACAACCCCGCAATCGTACTAGGACATGTCTACTAGGAACAAGAAGCTACTAGTTATGTTCAAGTGTTTGACCGGGTCAATTGCTCCAGTTTGCCTTTCACGTCACAAGAAAACACCAAAGGAAAAACTTACTTTGGCAGCCCCAAACCCAGCCCCAACCAAACTTAACAGCTTCGAGCAGGCGTTGCAACAATTGACATTGTCGGTTCTCGTGCCACTGCAGAACCCCAACTCTTCAGCGACGATTCAGAAGAAGCTTACGACACTCACGTCGGTTTGGTGCCCCCCAATCTAAAACATCAGCATTTGGAGGGGGTTAGTAAGGTTTAGTTCGTTCTTTTTTCAATCTTTCAATGGTGATCTCTAATCAACCCACGCTTTCTCAGCTTTAAGCTTTGGAGCTCATGCCACGGCACGGCCGCTCCAGCAGCCGTCGGCGGGGGCGGCGGCATGGCTCCTCAACGAGGAGGTGAGAGGGCTGAGAGTGGGGGTTATGTGGTTTGGGTGGTGCGGGTGTTCTTACGCTCTACTATGGTCAATTCAATTTCCCGACCTACTTTGACGCAAATATAGAAGAAGACATGAGACAATTGCCAATTCAGGAGAGAAAGGTCCAGAAGCCGCGCCAGAGGGTCGTCAACTTAGTGCTGATGTCAAACTCATATCAGTAACATGTAGCACACCTTTTGTTTGTTTTGGATCAAATCCTACACAGCTACGCTGCCTGTTCTGCTATCCCATCTTCAACTCTTCAGCCAATTTGGATCCTGCCTTCCGCTTAGACCTCTGGAGCTTCTTGCGTGAAGCGCTCCACTGTAGATCACAATGTCTTCCATGTGGACTGACAGAAAACCCAATTGGAAGAGCAAGACCGGGTTTGGCTTATGCTCTTTCAAACCTGCATCGACGGTTTCACGCGCACTGGGGCCGTCGTCACACACCTACTTAGGCAGCGCCGCAAGCGGCAGCGAGAGAAGAGCTCATCAGAAGTGCGGTGTCCTGATTGCATTTGGCACAACCTCAATGCGCAGCTCACAACGAACATGTGCAGCTGAGCTTCAAGAAGCTTTGAAAAGCTTGAAGCGGCTGATCGTGGTTGGAAGACTTCTTTTTTGCAATTGGATGGCTCCCCAAGCGTCCTTGTTCCTAGTAGCGATGCCAGGAGCCCCTAGTAGCGTCCTTGTTCCTAGTAGTATGGCCAGGAGTCCCTAGTAGCTACTTGTTCCTAGTATAATATAGATACTGTAGATGGTTGACTGAGTTAGGGTTGTCTTTTCTTATTGTTTTTGCTGCACACGGGCCGGGCCTGCCTCTTGAGCAGGCTTAGGGTTGCTTCTTGAATGCAACATTCTTTGCTCCCAGTGACCTTTCAGGAAGCCAGATGGAGGTGACTTGATGGCACACTAGCAGGAGCTTTCTCAACTCTGGCGCTGCAATGACTCATAGCCCTCTCAGGTAAAAAACAAGAAGGAAAGAAAAAGGTAAAAAAAGTTGCCAAGCTGCAAGCAGTGAGGGCCTCTTGTAGCCACGTGCAGCAGATTACAGTACGTCATTCTGTTGCAAGGGGATGATTCAGCGTATATATATATATATGTGTGTGTGTGAGTATGAACTACTGATGCTTTTGATTGAGAAAGGGCAACTGTACAAAAAGCGAGACACTCAACGGTATTCGTTGGGCTTGAGGATAAACTATATAACCCTGTGTTTTGTCTTCCTCACGTTGCTAATGCACAGAAGAAAGCCAGTGCACGAACAATCATTTAACAGTTTATTGCATGCACATGCAGCACTATCGCCCATGACCATGCATGGTATACTTCCCATTTCTCAAATCACGCGTGCATTTTACAGCCTTTCTTCCCGACATCGAGGCCGAAAAAACAAGTAAAGGAGATAAGGAGGAGAAGGACGAGAAGGCTGATAAGCTGGAAAAAGACGAGAAGACTGAGAAGCCGGAACCCGCGAAAGCGGAGTCAGGCCAGGTTGAAAAGGCTGATGGCGACTCATCAAAGGCGGGAGGTGTTGTTAGATTCAGCCTTCCCTGGATCATCATCTTGTATTTCCTTGGTGTTCATGTGTGGAAACTTTTTTTGCAGGTAGAGAAGGCAGAGAAAGCAGCCAAGGACAAGCCCGAGAAGGACTTCAACGTTGAAATTACACAGAAGCATGCAGAAACCACTTCTGAATCTAAGACTCAGCGGTGAAGGGTTACGGGTTATTAGTTATGATACAGTTGTTGGTCCAGCGCCTCACTGATTTCTCTTGCCTCATCTCATTCAGCTGATCTCAAGGCAGAGAAGAAAGCCAGCAAGCCCGACAAGCCCGACAAGGTGCGCTCTTCGACAGTTTGACACTCAACGTTCGGATATTAGAGTATTGTCACGCACCACAACGTGCTAGGAAAGCATTACAAGCTTCATGCAAGTGGTTCTCCGATTCGGTATGATTTTCGTGTATGATCGGTTCATTTGCAAGACACTTTGAGCAACGCAGAACCACTTTGACATAAGCAGCCTAAAGCATGTTTTGCAGTGCAATTCTGCAAGAGCAGCCCCTCTGAATGAGGCCAAAGGCAAAAAGACCAAGGATGGTAAAACGAACAACAAAGGACATGACGATCTTGATGGATAGGAACATTGCTGCGTAGACTTAATGGAAGGTGAAGAGGGTGGTCGCAACTACAGTTCTGGGCAGGAGACGAGAAGACAAAGAGCAAAAGCCAAAGCAAGAAGGACAGGTTGAAACAAAATCATATCTAAACCTGATGTCTTTACATTTGGACTTCCTAAGCATTGTCAGCCTTTCAAGCTCGAAGGATACAGCAGCGAAAGCCGATGCGAAAAAGAAAGCAAAGGCAGCTCAACCGATCTCGGTAAACCAACGCAAACTGCGGCACAAATGCTCTCAACTGACCCCGCATTTTTACATGTGGGAAGGCAAAGAAAGACAAAGACAAGTCGTCTTCTAGCTACAGTTCATACTCTTCTTCCTCTTCCAGCCCCTTGGCAGATGGCTGGGAGTTGACTGGGCCAAGATTCCAGCAAGAAACGCCAGCAATGCATAGAATACCTTTTTGGGTGAACTTGTCTCCATCTTATTTGAGCACTTGTCAGTGGAATACTTTTGTGCCTCCTTAGGCAGCGATGATGATGATCAGCAACAACAGCAGCAGTATTTGCAGCTTTGTTGCACTCAGGCTTTGCTTTGGTGCAGCAGAAAACCGTCAGTTTGAGATTCTGAGCACCGAGGAATGCCATGAGCCAGTGGGCGATGATGCAGGTTTGCCGGTCAGTCACTACATGCATACACACACGGATATACCGTATGATATACCTCTGATAGATTAGCCCGCCCTTGAAACTCTGGCATTATCGCACCACATGCAACTACTATGCCACAAGACCATAAGCGCAAAAGGGGAAGGCAACACTGTCAGCCACATTATGTATATATATATATTTACATACCTTCGCCTTGTTTGTTAGACAACAATCTAAGATCATCCAACATTTCTTTTACGCATGACAAACCCAACAAAGATTGAACTTGAGCTGATGACACACCTCAACAATCAGCAGATATGCAAGACCCGGACCCACTGCCATGCAATGCAGTTGGATGCAGCATCCTGGATTGTAGGTCTTGGCTCTGATATGTGTGTTTACTAGTGACATTTCCCTTCGGCATCACGTACCTATTTGTGGGCAGGTCTGGGCAGATACACTGTCCCAACAGGTTCAAGATATCGCAGCCACAGCATAGCAACATCGCATTCATTCTAAGTACAACAAGAACGGTCCAAAGAAAAGACAAGTCATTGGAAAGTCAAGCAGGCAGCCGCCGCAGCCGCTTACTTTTTACACGCCCTTGGAGCCCTTAGGTCATCAAGATTCCACACATACACAGACGACTCGAGAGCCACGCAGTGCTGTCTCAATTTACAGTGTTAAGTGACCTAGGAAGTTTCTAAACCATGCCATGCTCTTGCCTGTTACTTTGGCCCTGTGCTCTGCATCTCAGAGGGACGCCTTTAGTTTGGCACTTAGATGAAACGCTTCAGTTAGCCTCAGAACGCTGGAAGATCTCCAAGAGTGGATTTGGGATGCCTGGGGCGACTGGGTTGCCAAACGGATAAAGCCAGGATCCAACACCCCCAAAAGACAAGGAAGTTGTGCTCTGTGAATTTACGCAGGTGAGTGCTCATCCAATTTTGGTCCCATCCCATGCTTGCATGTTGCCAGAACTTGGATGGAGCAGCAAAAGCTTCCCTCAAGCAACTGACAGTTGCAAGTCACAGAAACATCCGAACAGGGGCAAGGACGCTAGTAGGGGCTCCTGGCATCGCTACTAGGAGCAAGGATGCTACTAGGGGCTCCTGGCCTTACTACTAGGAGCAAGAAGCTACTAGGAACAAAGGGCATCGCTACTAGGAATTGTGACTAGTGACTAGTTCACTGTCAACGAGCAGATTGCGTTGGCTTGGACAAGCAGTGTGACACTGGCACCCACACAAGCAAGAATCGTTTTAGGATGTATATATTTCAGCTCGATATGTGGAGATGGGACACAGTTCAGGGCAACTACTTCAAGTGCGGTTAAAGAATTCAACAGCAGAAAGAGGCCTTTCTAAGGACTGAGAAAGCAGTGCAACTTTCAAACGGTCACAGCAGGTCTGAAAGCCACAGACGCCGGGCTCATTGTCATGGCCTGTCCCTGGCGATGGCTCACTCGACCTTTTTTGCGCCGTGTTGGTGATAGCCTTGATAGCTACTGTCCTCGAAGCACAACATTTTCTCAACAGGTTGACTTTTGGAATTGACAACGGTAGAAGTAGGTCATTATGGGTAAGTATTTGGACAAGATTTGGCTAACTGTTTTGTTGATATCTCTCTCGATACAGCTTTGCTACGCTTTGCTGTAGTTCTCGAAACGCCGCATCATGACTACAAGCTTCGGCAAGACCTTGGAAGTATCAAGATTGAACTGTAAAGCCGGGCCATTGATTAATGGTAATGTGCAAATGCAACATAATGCAACACCGTTTCTGTTATGGATTCTCACACCACTCCACTATGCTGGCCACTGACCCATTGTTAATCGGTGAGAGTCGGAGTCGACTTGACTCAGCAACGCGGTTCTTCTCATGACTAGACAGTATTTGAATCTGCTTCGTCAATCGTGCAATCGCAGGCTAGGCTGGGCACAACATCATATAGTACTGACGATACCAGACAACAGATTAGAAATGCACCAGCACAGGAGTCCCAACTCCGGCGGCAGACACAACATGAAGAACTTGACAAGAACTGGACCTTTTTGCTCCTTTTGCCGAGAGCCTCTGGCACCTCGGCCCTGTCCAGCATCCATGATGCGCAGTGCAGGGTATGCCAGCGGCCATGGGCACGTCACAGATGGGCATGGCTGGTTATGCCCAGTATGCTGGAGGCATTTGGACTTTGTTCGATGTAGCAACCCGCAGAGTTTGACGCTCGCAGGCCAATACCCTGGATATGGGACAGCATATGGATACTCCGATCCTTATGGCAGGTGGGGTGGAGTTAGGTCAATTGTATCTGTATATATGATTAACTATATAGACTTTGGAGTTGCGCGCATGTTGAGTCTTCACTGAACCAGGCCCTATGGGTCCAGCATGGGAGAGGCGGTACCATCAGGCAAGGGCTCCAAATTGTTTCCACCTGCCAATAAAATGATTAAAGGAGCACGCCTTCCTTTTTTGGATGTTTGACCCATCAAAACTTGGAGGTTGTGGCTATATGCAGGGGGTGACTCCACCACCACCGCCACCACCTGGTGCTCCCCCACCACCCGCAGCTTGGTAGCATTTGGCATGTGAAGCGGATTGCCTTCTGAGTGATATATATATATATATTATACATATTACACATGATAAACTATATAATACATTATATCTATATATGGTTTTAGTTTAGTTTTGAATGGTAATGTTTGACCGGCAAAGATCACAGCCCATGCTGAGGGTGCGCCGCAGCTGTACATGCAGCCTGACAGCAGTTGGCTACCAACCGAATCCCAGACATAAGAGACAGACTGATGACTCAGACGACACGCCAGACAGCTGTTGTCACCCGAATTTCGATGAACTTCGTTGGAATTTGTCATGTGGGTCCACAGACTTAGTTTTGGAATGTTGATGCCTAGGCAAGGGCCCATGACGGAGGAACAGCGACTTGCCGATGAGCGTGACAAGGCACTTGCACAGTTTGCAAAGACCCATTCTGGCGACTACAATGCGTTGCATGGCAGCATTTGTGCATGCCTTTGCAATGTACTGCAGGCACGAAGGCGTTTGGAAGATGAAACTCGTCTCCGGAACGAGGAGCTTCACAGAAAGGCGGATTCCGTCCCTCAGACTAACTGATCACATCTCTGGGAATGCTAAGTCTGATGCAATAATTGGGTTTTTCCAAGGAACGAGCAGTAGCGACTGTTCGCAATGCAATCCTTCATCTGCAGAATGGGCAGTTGCTTGGCTTTCAGAAGGTATACGGCGTGTATATATATATATATACGGTGTTCCAGTGGAGGTATGGACTCACACAATTTCTTTGCTGCAAGCAAAAGAGAGGGAAAAATGGGGCCCTTACCTTCCTGCAGCGAAAGACACCAGCAGCTAGTCTTTGGCCTAGGTCAGACGCTTTGGACAAGTTGCAAAAGGCAATTGACTTGAGATTTGTCATGAGGAGCTTTCTAGGAAAAAGAACGCGTTCTTGTTTGTGCCAGAAAGGCGGCAGTCGGGCGCGGCACTGATTTCCCTTGTGCCGCTTCCATCTAGCTTTTAATGGATCCTGCCGCAGACGTTGGAGAAAACTTCCGAGCGGGAGTTGCCCAAGTGCGAAAGCCAAGCAGAAGCTTTAAAGCGCGATATGAGCAAGGCACGATTGTTTTTCCGACGGCAAGCCGATTGCTTTGCCCTATTCTCATGATTCTCGTGTGCAGGCAATTGCTGAAGCTACAAAGCGACGCGAAGAGCTCCGTGAGCTCAAGGCCATGATCAGGACTGTTTCAGGAAAACCTAGGTCAGATTCAGATCATGTCAGATAAATACTATGTCAATAGGGATGAGGTCCCAGTATAGTTGCTATATAGGTACATGCCATATACTTTTGGCTCAAGTGCCCAACCAGGTAAAAAGGAGCTTTAGCGCGCGAGCTTCATGTTGAACTAAGGGCTAGAACGGGGCCAGGGCACACCTTTTCATCCGTTCGCAGGTTATCAGCCGTATCCAGACTCCTTTGAGCTGGGTACGTGCTGCGGCCTTACACAACACCATCTAAACACACACGCATCGGATAGATCAGTTACCCTCAGTCACTGAAGATGGACCAATCCGACGCCAGCACTGCGTCCTTTGGAGCAGCTGCTGCGGCCGCAGATCGGGTGAGTGCATCCCACAACTCTAGTCCAGGTACGATCGAAGCGGAGACTCTGACAGTGGTGAGAGAAGGTGCGACAGGTAGAGCGCGAAGTCGTTCCCCGTCAGCGCAATCGACACCACCGGGGGGGACACCGAGGTCAGGCCGTAGCCTTAGGGAGACAAGGAGGAGGACTGACACCGGAGCAGTGAGAGTGCTAGCATTGGAGGATGGGTCAACTGTACCAGTGCCGTCGGACAGCGAAGCTGGAGATGGAGCAAGGGCAAGCACTGACAACCTACAACTAGCACGGGCCGATGGAGACCTGAATGCGAAGTGTGCGCAACTACTTGCCGAAGTGCATATGTTGAACCACCAAAACGCATGGATGGTCGAATGTGAGCAGAGACAGAACCAGATCATACAACACGAGACCGAAGTCCACGAAGTAGTGATGGCACACCTCGAGGAATGTTATGTCGAAGGATATGGAAATCAACGAAGAATCACCCAACTCACGGAATCCAGAGACTGTTTGCTCTCAGCAGCACACGATTTGCAATACCAGATTGACACTGATCGTGTGGCGATGCGGGATCGTCTCACCCAATTAGGGGAGTACGCTGATCGCAACAGCGCAGAGATGGTTAGTCAAGTTGTGAACATCGGCACGGAAGAGATCCAGGCTATATCGGCGGAAAGAGATCGAGCCGTAACCGAGGTCATGACTGCAGTCGCAGATGCTGAGAACATTAGGGATCTGTATAGACAGGAGTTAGTTGGACTACAAAGGCAGAGTGCCAGGAACAAACACGAATATGCTGAGGAGATGAAAATGAAGGAAGCAATGTATGCAAGCAAGATCAAATGGTTATCAGAAGAGAATGAGGAGCTCAACAACCGATCTTATAATCAGGACAATTTCATCATGACCATCAGGGAGCAATTGAAGAGGGCGAACGAGGAGTTAACGCAGGCGAGGATTCAAGGATCCGATCGACCGTCTCAACCATCCAACGTCGAACTCAAGAAAGCTGAAGTCAAGGTGAACATGTTGGAAGAAGACATTCTACGGAAAGAGAGGATGCTGAAACGTCTTCAGGAAGAACTGATCGAATCGAGCGCAAGTGAAGCACAATTGAAGGTCGCACTGACGTTGAAACCACCAGACATGGGATCGGGACCCAATGTGGAGAATGAGATGATGACCAAGCTTAGAGCGGAACTCGGACGTACCGAAAAGTCATTAAGGTCCGAGGAGAAAGAGGCAATGGAGTACTACGAAGGCATGATGCAGAACCAACAGGACATGATGGAATTCGAAGCGCATGCAGCACGGCTCAGAGATGAGAGGAATAAGTACCGGAGGAGGTACGAAGAGGAGCGCTTGAATGCAGAGAATGCAGCCGCAACCGAACATGGTGCCGCCTCATCCTCTAGCTCGGGTGGCTCCAAGATATCTCGGAAGGAACACGAGAAAATCAACATCCCTGCATGGCCCAAGATACACGACCTGGAGGTTTGGAAATCTCAGGTTGTAGCGGCAGTCGTGACGGCATCGGGCGACGAAAGGCAAGAAGACTGGATCCAGTGGCTCTCGGATGCCTTCAGATCACCATATGACCCATTTCTGCTCGAGACATCAGGTGAGGCAAGATTCGCTAGCATAGATGCTAAGCTAGGTATCACCCTACATACAATCATCCACGCAGCAGGTGAAAGATTTCATGACGTACAACTGAAGGTGAGGCAGATGATGCAGAGACGTGCGAGAGGCACAACTCCTGGAATGGTCAAGGGACGAGAAATGTTAGCGTTGATCGTCGATAGCTTCCGGAGTGCCGACAACGTTGATGTGATGTATGCATCCAAGCACTTATTCGATCTAAAGTTCCCTGGGGATAATCAACTATCCAGATTCCTTGGACAGTGGGATGAGATCATATCAGGTATGGATGCGGATGACATGCTTCCTGACAAAGCACTCCGCAACCTGCTTTGGGACAAGATTAAGGATTCCAAAGTTATGGCGTTAGACTTGTCCGTGTACGACAACATGTTGGATAAGGATCCGGATAAGACCTACCAGAAGTTACGAGAGATCATGGCGAAGTGGATACGGAAATCAATCGAGACCACAAACAAGAAAGAAAGGGAAAAAGCTTTTGGGAACCTCGTGAAAGCCACACCAGCGGCGGAGAAGAAGGACCCTAAAGCGAAGCCCAAGAATACCAAGGCCGATCCACCGAAGCTTGACGCCGCTCCAGTACTTCCTCAGGCTAATCCGAAGGATCACCACAAGAAGGACAAGAAGCAGGATCGTGGAAGGTCGACCACGAAGAGCCCAAAAGGGGATCGTGGCAGGTCAGCGACTCCGGCAGATACGTCCAAGATAGGATGCGCTTTCCACTTCCATGGGAAAAACGGATGTTCTAGAGGAGACAAATGCAAGTTTAGTCACCAAGAGAAGCACAAAAGTTCTGCTAAGAAACCAGAAAGCCTCAAGGGTGACAGATCAAAGAGTCCTGGTGGCAGGAGCAGTAGCCCTAAGCCAATGAAGGATCAGGTCTGTTGGAATTGGCAGAAAGGATCGTGCAAGTTCGGGGACAAATGTCGACGTCAGCATCACGCTGCCCCTGCTACAAAACAAGAGGCTAAAGGCAAAGCCAAACCTAAACCGGCTGCGCCAGCCTTCATGCTTTGCGGAGACATCGAGAGTGATGACGAGGACGTACAACCCGCACTTCCCAACGTACAACAAGGTGAGTTGGCACTTCGCTTTAAAGTCAGAATCGATGACCAAGCGAATGTGACCACGTTCCCCTGCGATCCTGGTAACGAGCTAAACACCCGTCCCCTCAGGAAGAAGAAGAGTGAGGTGCAGAAGGTGGATACCGAGCTCATTTCGTCGTTGAGAGCCCTCAGAGTGAGCAATATAGCTGCGCGAGTAGCACATGCCAAAGGTAAGATGATGGAGCTATTTTCTGCTGAACACATTGCCAAGGCATGGATACAAATCACTCAAGATGAAGGAATCGAGGTGAACGTCGACCTGTCTGACTTCAACACCAGCGAGGTAGTAAGGAAGGATTCTGTCAACTACACGATACCAGGAGACACGATGTTCATGGCTGTGGAGAGGTATGATGGACCACCGATACGCTTCATCATGGACACGGGATGTGGACACGACTTGATCTCAAGAGAGAAAGTCAATGCCATGGGCCTTACCACCAAGGAAGGACCCAAATCCGTGAGCTTCATGACAGCGAATGGTGTAACTAGTACATCAGAGATGGTGGACATCAATGTGGACGAACTACCCATGAGATCCGAGGCACACGTGTTGGAGAACACACCATCAGTCTTTTCCATCGGGAAACGGTGCATGGAACAAGGGTACTCATTCATATGGCCGGCAAATCAATTGCCATACCTCATCGACCAGAACGCGAACAAGATTCCGCTATCGGTGCATGACAACATACCCTACATCAAGGTGAATGATGACGACGGGAGATGTTTACCAAGACCAGACGGCTTGGCTACGATACTTCATCGCATACTGTCAGGTGTGGGGCATGAAGACGAGGCCACAGCAGGTCAGGAGACACAACAAGAGGAACCTCCGCCCAAGAAACCACGGAGGCGGAGGAGAAGGAAGAAAGATAACCAGAGAGATCAGGATGGTGAATCTGATATCAATCCAGCTGTTGTAGGCGACGAAGAGGAACCAGAGGAACACGGTGATGACGGATATTCTCCTGAAGAGGGATATGACGGGGAAGACCCGAGAATCGATCGTGATCTCGATGGTCAACCTGAAGAAGCCGAAGACGACGAACATGGAGGTGATGCGGATTCTGAACGAGAGGAGAGTGACATTGGTGAAGATGAAGAGGGGCTATTGGAAGTCGATGTGGTTGACGGGGAAGCCAGACTATCAAAACCAGGAGTGCTGAAGAACGAGGCAAAATCCATATTGCACCTGATGACGCACCGATACAAGAACCCATACTGCAAGTCATGTGTGAGAGCAAAGATGAAGCGCTACAAGACTAGCAAGGGCGCTTTCAAACGGAAATTGAAGGCATTCGGTGACCTTATCACTTTCGATCTCATGAACACTCAGAAGATGGCGAGAGATGGGATCATGCCGGATAAGGATGTATTGGTGATTCGAGATCGGTTCACTGGTGTGATATGGGGCTATCCTTTGAAAGCGAGCAATAGTGACGAAGTGGTGCAGGCGATGAAGCACTATATCGGGAAGAGAAAGATCACCAACGCTTACTCGGATGATGCGCCACAATTTGAAGCAGCACTCAAGGAACTCCGGATTCCACTAGACCAGTCGCTTCCAGGACATCCCCAGAACAATTCACTCGCCGAGAGAAACAATCAATTCATGATGCTTACCACATCGACATGCCTACTAGAAGCCGGACTACCACCATGTTTCTGGCCATTTGCAGTGGAGTGCGTAAGCCATTTGTTGAACATCGAGAAGCTGAGCGATGGCAGCAGTGCATGGTTGAAGTTGCACAAGAGCGAATTCCCAGGCATGGTGATACCACTCGGGGCGAAGGTGTTCTTCAAACCTAGTGACGCGAGAGAAAGAGACCAGGATCACAAGTTCGACC